GCTGCTGCTCCCATCATGTGAGATGCCTCACACCCCTTTGCCTTCTGCCACAACTGAAAGCTTCCTGAGATCCCCCCAGAAGCCAAGTAGAGGCCACCATACAGACTGCAGAACAGCGAGCCAATAAAACTCCTTTTCTCATTAATTACCCACCCTCAGGTATTTCTTTATAGCAATGCAAGAACAGACTAATAAATGCTGCCATCAGCTTTTTATGAGATTTCTAGAAACCCAAAACTTTCTTAGCCTTATGTGCTGCTTTTGGAGCTACCAGAACCAAGCAGAGGCCACCTGTACAGATTGCAGAACAGTGAGCCAATAAAACCTCTTTTCTCATTAATTACCTACCCTCAGGTGTTTCTTTATAGCAATGCAAGAACAGACTAATAAATGCTGCCATCAGCTTTTTATGAGATTTCTAGAAACCCAAAACTTTCTAAGCCTTATGTGCTGCTTTTGGAGCTACCAGAACCTGTCTTTAGAGACCCAGAAACGTCTGCAGGTTCCTCCCTGAAACTTTGCCTCTTCTGAGATTCTTCTAGCCTTATTTAATTCACCAATCCGAAAACAGGACATATATTCCCCTCACTCTCCTTTTTTCTTGACTGCTTGACCTCTTCTTCGACACCTAAGGGTCTCTCAGTTCTGACCGAGAGAATTACTTCTAGGGCGGCCAGTTCTGAGCACAAAATTCATCCCTAAAACTTGTACTTTGAAGTAAGCCCTCCCTGCCTTTCCCCTCCAAGTCCTTCCTTCCTCGCATGCACTCTATGTTGAGAAGAAATAAAGCCATTTATTTTATAATATATATATATAAATGGCTTTATTTATATATAAAAATATATATGTATTTATATATATTTATATACCTATAAATATATACACACACACACACACACACACACACACACACACACACACATATATATATATATATTCTAAAGACAAGACTTCAGTTTGTCACTCAGGCTGAAAGTGCAGTGGTGTGATCTTGGCTCACTGAAGCCTTGACCTCTGGTTCAAGTAAATCTACTGCCTCACCCCCGCCAAGTAGCAGGGACTACCAGCATGCACCACACCTGGTCAATTTTTGTATTTTTAGTAGAGACAGGGGTTTCACTGTGTTGCCCAGGCTGGTCTAAAACTCCTGAGCTCAAGCGATCCACCTGCCTCAGCCTCCCAAAGTTCAAGGATTATAGGCATGAGCCACTGTTCCCAGCCCATCTCTTTTCACTTCATAAAAGAATCTCTCTATTCTGGGCCGTAATCAGAGGCCTGCTATTTCAGGGTGAGATCCAGGACATGCTTTACCTGGCCCCAATTACTCCTCTCTCTTGGTAAGTCTGTTTATCAGGTTAGCTGTCAAGGCTGGGCAGAGCTGACCTCTAGAAATGGTTCCAGAGCTTCGATATCTCCAAGTGGTGTTTTGTCCCTAAATCCTCGTCTCTGTGCATTTGCCCACTTGGCTCTAGATGAGGCACTAATACATTAGTGATTCATTGTAATGTTATCACATCATTATATCCAGGGCCCATAAATACCCAGATATTGCTGAGAGGCCTATAGTAGGAACGGCAGCAGATTACAAGTGTAAGCTACCGTGCTGGGCCTTTCTTTTTTTAGATGGAGTTTGGCTCCTGTTGCCCAGGCTGGAGTGCAGTGGCACGATCTCAGCTCACTGAAACCTTGATTCCCAGTTTCAAGCGTTTCTCCTGCCTCAGCCTCCTGAGTAGCTGGGACTATAGGCATGCACTACCACACCAGGCTAATTTTGTATTTTCTGTATACATGGGGTTTCACCATGTGGGCCAGGCTGGTCTCAAACTCCTGACCTCAAGTGATCCACCTGTCTCGGCCTCCCAAAGTGCTGGGATTACAGGTATGAGCTACTGTGCCTGGCCAACACAGACTTTTTCACACCTTGATTGAACTATCATTGGCGTACAAAGATCCGTGCACATATTTAATGTGTACAATTTGGAATTTGGATATATGCAAACACCTGTGGTACCATCACCACAATTAAGGTAATAGATATATCCAACACTTTTCAAAGTATCTTTGTGTCTCTTTGAGTTTTGGTGGGGGGGGGGGTTGTTTGTTTGTGGTAAGAAACACACTGAACATGACATCTTCCCTCTTAACAAATTTTGAATTTCATGACACTGTATTGTTTACTATAGTGCACTATAGTACAGTGTAATGTAGACACTATATTATACAGCTGATCTCTATAACTTACTCATCTAGCATAACTAAAACTTTATACCCATTGAACAGCAAATTACAATTTCTCCCTCCCAGCAGTCCCTGGCAACAACTATTGTATTCTCTGTTCTGAGTCTATTATAGATGCCTCGTATAAGTGGAATCTCATGTGGTATTTGTCCTTCTGTGACTGGCTTTTTTCACTTAACATGATGTCTGTATGGCTCATCCATGTTGCTGTAAGTGATAAGATATTTTTGTTTAAGGCTGAGTAGTGTTCCCTAATATGTATATGTCACATTTTCTTATCTATTCATCTATGGGAGACACTTGGTTATTTCCATACCTTGGTTATTGTCAATAATGCTGCAAAGAACATGGGTTTTGGGGGGTTTTGTTTCTTTGTTTGTTTAAGTTTGTTTGTGGGAGTGCAGTTATTTCTTCGAGATATCGATTAGATTTCCTTTGTATGTAAGCAAATGAAACTACGTTACATGGGACAGGAAAGTCAGAAGCAGGATTGCTGGATTACATGGTAGTTCTATTTTTAATTTTCTGAGGAACCTCCATATTGTTTTCCACAGCAGCTGGGCCGTTCTGCGTTTCCACCAACAGTGCAAAGGTTCCAACTTAGGCGGTTGTATTTTTAAGCAGGATCATCTAATAGCAAAGTCACTGGTCTTTCAGCTCCATTACTCCCTCTCCTCACCATCTGCTCCCGTAGACATTCAACACTCTTTCCTAAAACGAGCTTACCACACAAATGGCCTGTGATGGAGATTTGTAGTGTTCCCCAGTGGTCCCAGCTCTCCACTCCTCCCTGGGCAACCAGCACAACACACTTCTTAGCTCCGTGGCCAGTTGGAAAGGGCCAGTGGCCAGTTTTGGCCAATAACTGCCAGTGGAAGTGACAAGGGTCACCTGTGCATGCACGGAGTGAGAAACCTCCGTACTCTTTCTTCCCTCACGCAGGAAACCTGCAAACCACCAGAAGTGCCCACAAAAAACGGTGCTTCCCCTTCCTCCAACCCCCATATGCAAATCCCAACATACCAGAGGTGAAAGCAAGAAGGAATGGAAAGAGACGTCTACTCAAAGGTCCCGTTCTGAGGCTTCCAGCCAAGGTCGGTGGAGAAGTTGGAAACAAATTAAAATGAGATCGAAGCTCCTACTGTATTCTTTAACATCAGAAAACGATGAGAAGACTGAGGGGTCTGACAGAGATATTCACAAGGGAGAGAAAGGAGAAACGGGGTGGAGCATTTTGAATAAAGTGACTGGACAGAAAAACAAATTTGTGGTTATTCTAGGCCCAATTTGATTCAAATTAGAGTAATTACAAAGCCAATGACAGTTAATATTTATGGGGAGCTAACTACGTATCTGGGGCTGGACGAAGCCCTAAAACTGTCACCTCACTTTCCAGGGACGCCGTGGTGAGAACACTGCAGAGAGACCATTATGTGAGTTGCCACTGTCATGCTGCTGTGACTCAATGATCAAATACGAACAGCTCTGCCTCAGAGGCCACACCTTCATAAGGGTCAAGATTCACACTTGCCATCCCAAAGCTTCCCACCAGGTATGCGGTGGCATGCAGAGAACCTCGGATGGTTGCAGGCATACCGCATAAGCTGAAGTCTGGGTCAGCTGAAACCTCTGGCTTGAAGAGCCTCATCTCTTTATCCCAATGGGTTGTAACCTTTTTTCTCTGAGATCTATAGTGTGAAGAAAATATAACAAGCATTGCAACAGGGGTAAAGCAGGAATAATAACTATTTAAGCATCTGCTCCAGAGCAGGTTTTCCATATTCCAGTCACATGAGTTGTCTCTTTTGATTTTTCCGAATAACCCTGGGAGGGAGAGATAGTTCAATTCTCCTTGCAATAAGGATGTTAGGCTCAGAGAAGTGAAGTAACATGCCCATGGTCATGAAGCTGGAGAGAGCTGGAGCTGAGATTCAATCCCAGGTCTTCTCACTCAATATTATTAGTGCCATGAGATTGCCCACAACAGCATCAGCTGGAGGCTCACAGCCAGGCCCCTGGGGTTGCCTCCTGCTGAGGTTGAACAATAGCTCAGATAGATCTGAAGAACAGAGGTCAGAGTCAGCCTGCAATCAGCACCACTGTGGGCACATCAACAACAACTACAGCAAGAACTGACATTAATACTTGTAATTCCAAGCAAATATCTAAAGAGGCTGGTGAAGCATAAGTGAAAGAACTTGAAGTTAAGAAATGTACAGAGCTCATACCCATTGGGAATCCCCTTTGTCTTGTGCCTGAGATTTTCTGTGGTTTACATGGGATAGAAACCAGGTTGAGAAGAGGGGGTGAGAGTCCCCAAGAGGACTTTCTTGTAGGACTTGCAGGACCAGGTAATAGCGGTTCTTGCAAAAAATTTGCAGCAGTTTCTGGTTAGCAAACCTGACATTCTGCATAAGGGGAACAGGAGGATAATAAATTAAGCCATCTTATGAAGACCCTCAGGGTTAAGGTTCCTAGGATCTTCTTCTTTTATGTTCTGATTCCGGTGAGAATAAGAAGTGAGCAGCCAAACAGAAGACGAAAATCAGAAAAATCATACTTTCTCCCCCTTCATAGTTATAGATTAAGGGACAAGATAATAGCGCTAGTTAGGGAAAGAGTGCACTGAGTTTCAAGAAAGCTATTGCATAGTCTGTCTCATATGACTGATAATGAAGGGCCGTTAACTTCTCTTTTGTGATTTTGGACTAAAGTAGAAGAGGTTGGGTGAGCCAGATTAAATTAATTAAAAAGTGCACACATTCAAATACACACACACTTTATTTACACGCATTTGCACCACCATTCTTTCCACCCCAAATCTTGCAGTTACCACTGAGGACCAACTGAGGTGAGACCTACATCGTTGGATCAGTTTGCAGCTTGAGAACAATATGGATTTCCACTAATCTACTCTTTTTGTTATTTTGTTTATTCCTTTTTGACACTTGTTCTCACCTTCTGCAGACAGCTCCTACGTGTTCTTTCCTCTGTGTGTTCGTCATTTATTAAATGATACATTCGTTCATTCTTTAGACACCAGTTGAGTACCTTTTATGTTTTATGCTAGAACCAAAAGGCGAATAAAATGCAATTCTCCTCTGTGGCTGTGACACTGGTGTTTGGTTTCACGAATGCTCTTTCTGCCAAGTAAACATGATTCTAATTGGTAGATGCTGTGTTGTTTGTCAGGCAAATGTGATTTCACTTTGAACAGGATTTCGAATTGATGATTGAAGTCGTTTTTCATCGTGACAGCATTACATGCGCATGTGCACACACACAATATTTTCTTCATCCTCAAACGCAGGCATTCTGCCAAACACTGATGGGGATGGCCATCTTCTTTTGAAATTAATTAAAAACACTTATAATTAAATAAATTGGATTCATAGCAATACTTTTCATAATGCCAGTATTAACTTTCATGGTTTGGCTCGTCTTCCTTTCATTTCATTTCTTTTCAGCATCATTTTATGCTTGGAGACTCTGGAATGACAGAAAAGCCAGAATATCAATAGCCAACATTTAAGAAGTACTCATTTTTTTGCCAGGCACTGTTCTTAACACTTTGTACGAACTGCATCATCTAATCCTCACAAGGACCCTAGCAGGTATATAATGTGTTATCTCTGCTGAATGGAGGAGGAAACTGAGACACAGAGAGTTTAACTTGCTCAAGGCCACGTAACCAGTGATTTCTTAGAAGTGAGATTCAAACCTACATTGCCTGACCCCAGAGCCCATTTCTTGGCTGTTATGCTACAATGCATCACAAAGCAAAACTGAACACTGCCAATGCAAAGGCTGAAGGAAATAGAAGCCCCCAGACAGGCAGAATTGAAAGATTTCTCCTTAACGTGAGCAGAAAACTGAAATGAGCATAATTTGAGATAGGGCTGAAGCTTACTCGAAAGTTATTCTTACTCGTCAAAAGAAAATGCTTCCCCATGCACAAGCACGCTTACTGCAATTATACACACCATAAGAACCTATGTATAAACATCCCATGTTATAGGTATTTTTAAACTATAAAATTTAGAAATCAAATAGCAAAGAATATAAAATTTAAAAACTACAATTACGAGCATAAACTTCATTGGCTAGGGACATCTTGCTGAAACTAAACTGCCATATCCAGTGTGACAACGGTCCCAATTGCCACAGGAAGGTCCTTTTGAGCCCACACATCTAGATTGCCTTGTGCTGTATGATAACTCCATCTTCCCACTGGCCTTCTTGACTGAGTATCAGGAAACCTTTGTTCACATAGAGAGCCAAGGCACCACTTGGCCTCACTTGCTGGAAGTGCCTCCGTTCTGTATAAAAGTATACTGTCCTTCTTTACCTAGTAATCTACAAAATGAAAGAAACACTACTTATGGGGGCATTGAAATTGCATTGCTCTGAGAAAGGGAAAAAATGCAGTAAAATGGGTTTTGCTCAAGTTCTCATCAGGCTTATGTTATTGCATGTTGTGCACAGTTTTTACAAGCTTTGTTATCTGGTTTCTCAGTTGATAGCAGATTGGAAGCAGCAGATTAGAAGAAGGGAGAGATATTACCATAGGCATGAAGACTAAAAATCACGGCAAATGCCAGCAGAGAACAAGAGAGAACAATGTCAATCAATAGAATCATTTAGCGTCAGCCCAAATTGCTTCAAATACAACTGGTCCCATTATAGAACAATGCGATTAACTGACACTCCCAGTGATGACTGAGTCATACAGGAAAGCTTAAATGGTTTCCTTCATACTATGTAAGATGTCACAAAATGTAAAATGCATGTGTGAAAGATATTCATTAAAAATGATTAAAATAAGAAATAATTTTAATGTTTTAAAGGGTAAGCCCCCCAAACTGGTCCATTCAAAACAGACCAATTCTTGCAACATTGTAATTATGGGGAACTGTTAAAATTATAATGTCTCATCCTCACGTGTTCTTTCTTATGTTAGAATGTAAAGAACTTGAGAACAGGGGCTCAAGACATGTTTCTGGCCTCTACCATATCTGAAATAGACTATTGTTCACAGTGGAAACCACGTGACATCATCATCATAATCACTGTGTATTTTCTCAGGCTTCACACTCATAGTAAGTCTACAGAGTGGGCTGGTTCACCCTATGTGGTATCTGTGCGACCTGTCCACCTTGCTAGACTGAACTACGTTTCCCAGAATCCCCTTCGTGGTGTTTCGGAGTTGGGTTGACTTTCACGCCAGATTTGGAACACAAAAGTGAAGTGGGGCCATTTTGTTTTTGTGCTTAGGCAGTTCTTGCTGATCTGCTGGCTAACCTGGTTGACCTGGGGTAACAGTCAAGCCCACAGCTGCTCCACCTTCCCCTGGATACAACTTTAATTTCTCTGTCTCCTCAGCTAGGTGTATGTTTAGTTCTTTGATGAAGAATGTCAGCTTCTCTTACAGGACACCCACTTCATCGAAGTTGGAAGCAATGAGAATTGACACAGGTTCCGATTGGTCCTTGAAGGCTCTCATTCATGCCCATGCATCCCAACTTGCCCTTCCTCTTCTCCACCTTATATCCACTTTTGCTTCCCAACTGCCTGCCCTGAACGCTTCAGGAACCAGCATCAGTCACAAAGACAGGAGCTTTGCAGACAGTGTTTAACAAGCACCCATAATTGCATAAGGCCAAATCTCCTAGATCTGCTTCTCTGATTGAATCCTAACTGATGAACCCCTTTTTATAGGTTAGGAAAGTAAGACTCAGAGAGAGTAAGTAACTTGTCTAAAGCCTAAAAGCAAGGGAAGGGGTAGAGCTGGCCTTCGAACTCAATCTGACTCTAACACTTGTGTTCTTAGTTATTAGGCTTTATGGCCTCTCCAATATAAATTTGTTCAATAAATGAATTCAAATAAATATAATACCTGAAGTGGAGCTTCAAAGTCAGGAGATCATTTTAATTTCTTGAGTGCCTACTTGGTGCCCAGAGACAAGTCCTGGCATTGGGCAAACCAGCAGCTCTAGAATCCACTTTATGAACTATCACCATGGGCTCTTTCAATCCCATCTATGACTCAACAGCCACCAGTCAAATCTAGCTAGAGCTACAAGCACAGCTTTCTCCATTGAAAACACTTTTAAGAGCTTCTTCACAGACACAACTGTCTAGTGGAATATGAAGGCAAAGATAAACATGCATACATTAGTGTCAGACAGGGCTCTAGGGCAGTGATTTTATTTTCTATTCAATGTGTTTCAGTTAGTGAAATACATGATGAGTCATTTCTACTTAAAGTAACAATAGAGAAGATTAATCCAGACATGCCATATCTTCTGAATAGAGGCATGCAATTTGCATACACCAATGTTTCTAAACTCTAAAAAACATCATGACATTTACTTTTACGTAGGATTTTAAAATAGAGATATACCTCAGTCATCCTGCTTTGGGAATTTCTAATGTCATGGTAAATGTTTTGATCCAGAAGTCAGAAAATCTGGGGTCTAATCCTGGATGTACCATTAATAAAGAGCTTTGTAACCCTGGGCAAAGCACTTCCTTTCTCTGGGCCTTAGTTGGCATATCTGTAAAAGAAGGCTTTCAACTACCTTCACAGGCTTTCTGACTCTTTGCAACATCTTTCAGTTTGACTGTTATTAGCATTTGCCATTTAGGCATAGAACAATCAAACATTAACTTAAAGTTTCATAACATGTGTTCCTTGCAGGAAGTATGTAAGAATCAAATAAAAACAATTTCATCATACATAAATCCAATCCCAAAGTAATAAGAATACTGACTCTTCACTTGAGTCTGAATATCCAAAAATTGCTCCTCTACCAACTTTACAGGATCTTTTTCTGGAAAACTGAATAAGATCCTCTCAGTTTCTTTTATTTTAAATTGTAATTTTTTAAAAATTTGAGATGGGGTCTTACTAGGTCGTCCAGGCTGGTCTTGAATTCTTGGGTTCAAGTAATCTTCCCACCTCAGCCTCGTGAGTATCTGCACGTGCCACAGTGCCCAGCCCCTATTTGAACACTGAACTTCAAGGAAGGCTCAGGAAGGGCAGGAAATAAAAGAGATGTCAATCTGTAATTTGAAGATGGAATTTTAAGTCTTTTGAGGTGGTCCGACTTCTGAAATTTTACTAATGATTTCTTCTTACGAATCTGACAGATGCCAGAACTGTGAGTCTCTGTGAGAAACCATGAGAAATACAAGGTGTGATTTCTACCTTTGAGGAGTGTATGGTCATGTGGAATATGTATTAATGAAATAAGATCTTAAGAGTTAGAAGGGTCTCTAAAAGTGGTCTAATTCAGTTGTTCTCAAACTTTTACTTGTGTTGGAATCACCTAGACATCTTGCTAAAACACAGATTTCTGAGCCCTACTCCTGAGTTTCTGATTCAGTAGGTCTGGGAGGAGCTCAAAATTTTTAATTTCTAACAAATTATCATGTAATGTTGATAGTGCTGGTCCTCTGGAGGTCATACTGTGAGAACCACTAGTCTTAGAAGCTTCTCCTTCTCCTTCCCGTGCTCATGAACCTCACATAGAGACTGTAAACATTCCAAAACTGCCTACTCATGCTTTTCTAACCTGGCCCTAAACTCTTAAAAGTTTTGCAAGAAACCACCCACTGGAATACACAAAATAAAGAGTGTTTTTTATTAACGCATTTCCTATAGGGGTTTTATTTTTCATGGTTTGGGTCCATACATTTCCTATTAAGTTGTGCCAAAATTTATAAGGTTTCTAGATTGCTTCAAACATTGAATTACGTTCCTTTTAGGGGTCTGCCTTAGTTAAGATTGAACCCCATGTTTTCTACCTTATAAACCTTTTGAACCTGATACAGCTCAAGTATTTTCTACCAAACTTAGTGTGGGAGAGTTTACAGTTAATTCTGTGGTTGAATAGCTTTTTCCAAAGTGAATCTCAAACCCACCTCACCCTTGGTGCCAGTTCTCCCACTTGAGCATCATGGATGAGGTCTTTACCCGATGCTGCTTAGAAGTTTTTTCAGTATCCACAGGCAGCTATCATGTCCTCTCATAGACACATCAAGCTCTCTCTTGTCTGTTTTTATCACCTCTAGTTATGTCTTCACCCCTGTTCCTGAGTTCATAAAGGTTTAGGTGTAAACTCAGACTTAAGGCTAATTTTTCTCCACCAATTCAAAAGTATTTACTCAATATTTCCTACATGACAAGCCTGATGCAAGTTTTAGATAGAGATGAGTAACAGATTCCACATCAACCTTCATGGGGTTCACAGTCTCAAGGGGAAAACCCAAATATGTTTTATACTGTCCCTTCAGAACTTTTATTCCTTTCTTGTTGAACATATTACATTTTTCTATACACTTTGTGTTGAACATATTACACTTTTCTATACACTTTGCCATCTAAATAATTCAATTTCTCCAAACATTTTGCATTATTTTATCTAAAAAGATTATGATCATCTTACGTGAACTCACTCATTTATTTTACTCAACATCTACTTATT